GACATGATTCTAGGCATGTCTTGGCTGCGTAGCGCCGATCATCCGGTGAACTTCCATGACCGAACCATTCACATCCGTGATCGGAACGGAGTGTTAGTCCCATGTACGGTCGCGACCCCTCACACTTCGATTGCTTGTCATGTGGTTTCCGTTGCGAAAATTCGCGACGCCATTGCTCGGAATAACATCGAGGAGATGGGCCTTGTATTCTTGCATGCTCTCCCCTCGCCGGACGGACCAGCCGCGTCACCGCCGGACCCACGCATTTCTCACCTCTTGGACGAGTATAGAGGCGTCTTCGAGGCTCCCACCGGAACTGTTCTGGATCGGCCCATACGTCACGGGATCACTCTCGAGGCTGGCGCCGTCCCTCCGCGTGGATGTATCTACCGCATGAGCGAAGAGAAACTCGAGGTGCTTCGCGCACAGCTCGTTGATCTTCTCGACAAGGGCTGGATTCGCCCTAGTTGCTCGCCATACGGTGCACCTGTTCTCTTCGTCCGGAAGAAGAACAAAGATTTACGGTTATGCATCGACTATCGTAAACTTAACGCACAAACCGTAAAGAACGCCGGCCCTCTCCCTCGGATTGATGATCTCCTTGAGCGGTTAGGCGGCGCGACGTACTTCTCGAAGTTGGACTTGAAGTCAGGGTACCACCAGATTGAAATCCAGCCTCAAGACCGGTACGGGCATTTTGAGTGGGTTGTCATGCCCTTTGGCCTCACCAATGCCCCCGCAACKTTTCAAGCAGCGATGACGACTAAGTTTCGCGACTTGCTCGATCGCAGCGTCCTCATCTACCGTGATGACATCTTGGTTTATAGTAGGACATTGGACGAGCACATCGTACACCTTCGCGTTGTTCTGAATCGTTTGCGACTAGCCAAGAACAAAGCGAATCTCGACAAGTGCGAATTCGCCARGCAAGAGCTTGAGTACTTGGGTCATTTTGTCACGCCGAAAGGCATTCGTCCCTTAGCGGACAAGATCCAAGCCATCGTGGATTGGCCGGAACCCCGTAGCACGACGGATGTACGCTCTTTCATGGGTTTGGCTGGATATTATCAGCGATTCGTCGAGTCATACTCGAAAGTGGCCGCTCCTTTGTCGAGACTTCAGTCCCCGAAGGTGCCCTTCGAGTTCGACGACGCAGCCCATGGCACGTTCACTACGTTGAAGGCAGCGATGCAAGCCGCACCTGCCCTCCGTATATACGACCCCACCCTACCCRCCCAAGTGACTACGGACGCTTCGGGATACGGTATTGGTGCGGTGTTGGAACAGTGTCACGAGGACGGTTGGCATCCGGTTGAGTATTTCTCCCAAAAGGTGCCTCTCGTCAACACTCTCGACGACGCTAGGAAGAAAGAGCTACTCGCGTTCGTCACCGTTCTCAAACGGTGGCGCCACTTTCTTCTCGGTCGTCGGCGTTTTAAATGGAATACGAACAACAATCCGTTGACCTTTTATAAAACGCAAGGCACGGTCACTAGCACGATCGGTCGATGGATGTATTACATCGACCACTTCGATTTTGACCCGTGGCACATTCCCGGTCCCGCCAATCGCGCTGCGGACGCCCTCTCACGACGGCCCGAATTTTGTGCCATTGTGACCACGGCATTCGACCGCGATGACGATCTGCAGCCGCATTTCGTCAAAGGCTACAAGTCCGATCCGACTTACTCTACGCTTTACGCAGAGCTTTTATCGGATCACCCGCCGGCTAGCCACTATCGGATTTCCGACGGGTTCCTTCTCCTTCACACGAGAGGAAAGGACTTGTTAGTTGTGCCCCAAGATCGCATCTTACGGACTCGTCTTCTAGGCGAATTCCACGACGCACGACTTTCGGCACACCTTGGCGTGAACCACACACTAGCACGCCTCCGCCAGCGTTTTCACTGGCCCGACGTCCTTCATGACGTCACGAGGTACATTGAGTCATGTGCAATTTGCCACCGTAACAAGGGTCGATCTCGAGTCCCCTTCGGCGAACTGAAACCGTTGCCGATCCCTCGGGCACCACGCCTCTCCATTGCTATGGACGTGACAGGCCCGTTTCCCCGCGATCGCCACGGCCATGACGGTATTCTCACGGTCGTTGACCGTTTGAGCAAGTATGCTCGCTTCCTTCCTTGCAAGTATCATGCTGCAGCACCTGAGCTCGCACGACTCTTGCACACCGGTTGGATTACCAACCAGGGTGTTCCGGAAGATATAGTGAGCGACCGAGATACTCGCTTCATGTCGACYTTTTGGACTKCCCTCATGACTGAGTCCRGTACGACAATGAAGCCGAGCTTGGCTCGGCACCCGCAGACGGATGGCCAGACGGAACGAGCGCACCAGACCGCTCAGATGATGTTGCGTACGCTCATCCGTCCCGACCAGAAAGATTGGGTTGACCGGCTTCCCGACATCGAGTTCGCCTATAACACTTCGGTGCACCCGGCGATCTGCGTCACACCATTCGAGTTACATCATGGYGGAGAGAAAACACGGATCTTCGCTGATCTCCTTTTGCCACAGGCTGCCGACATAGACGTCCCTTGCTCTCCCGCTTCCGTCCGGAAGTACCGGGACTTGGTGATCAAAGCCCGCGCAAATATGCAAAAGGCTCAGATCCGCATGCAGCAGCAGGCTAACCGACGTCGACTTCCATTTCCTTTCCGCGAGGGAGACCTTGTTTGGGTCCTCTCCGAGGAATTTGCGCTCGAGCAGGATGTTTTGCGCAAACTCCTTCCGAAATGGTTCGGACCATGGGAAGTCACTTCTGCCGTTGAAGACGATCCCGCAGGTCCTTCCTTCGTGATCAACATTCCACCGCACCTGGTAGTGCATCGGGTCTTCCACGCATCGAAGCTGGCCATCTACACGCCACCTTCAGATGACGAGTTTCCCGGACGTCGATCACAGGATCCGCCCTCCATGGACAGACATCAGGAAGTGGACCGAGTCATCACGCACCGCAAGTATGGCAACAAGCCAATGCAGTACAAAGTCACATTCAAGCAATGTGCGCCTGACGACACTCGGTGGATCTCCAGTCCCGATTTGCAGACTTCTGCACCCCTTATCTTCGCCGACTATGAGAAGCGACGCCTTGCTAAGGACGCAGCTCGTCCCGCCCGACCCACCCCGGTATCGGACAGACAACTCCGCCCTCGCAAGTAGCTCGGTCTTTTATGAGGGGGAGTGTGCTACATCTTCGACGCCACACGGGTCCTACCGGACCCGACTTAGGGCCGGAGGGACACACCAGGGCCTAAAGGCCCGACCTTGGGGGATAACAGGCCGAAAGGCCACGACTTGGACCCGACTACGGACCAGGCCCAAATGACATTTCGTCTTTGGGCCTGACGGCGCCGTTTGAGGCTGCGGCTCTCCGGTTGGACCTGAATCGTCGATCTGGACGGTT